TTGAGAACTAAAGGTATATGTCTTGCCAGTATATGTCTCTCAAAAAGACAGCCATTAGTCCTTCCATGGTATATGTCTTGCCGGTACCAGTTTGCCCATAGACTAATATGCACACATTGTAACCATCGGAGACAGTCACTATGGGCATAGTTTGAAGAAAAATAGCTTCTGCATTAAAGCATTGCAATGGATGATAATCCAATTTATACAACACCATTAAAGGAGTCTTTATCGACCACATAAACATTACTACTTCTAAGTTCTTAAGTTACGTTCGTTATCCTCTTGTCTAATTACGTGAAAAAACTTCAATTGTTTTTTCGAAGAATCAAGGCAAAATATTTGCAGTTAATTTTTCCTAGAAGGGTGAAAGTCAACAACTGAGGTGGACTCATTTGCGATCTCATCTTATTCTAGTGGCATACACCTACAAAAGACCTAATATTTCCTTTAAGCTTAATTACTTCATTCTTCGAAGTAATTGTTTTTCAGTGCATCAAACTCTTCAGTCTTCATGGCACTTCTTTCTTCAGTAATTCATGTTATGTGCCTAACATTTTAAGCAATACACAGCAAATGAACATCTCATTAAAATTAAGCATTCAATGTTGACGTCAAGTGGACAAATTATTTGTTTGAAAATGTGACTCGTGTAATCTTCAGTTGGAGAAAAGAAAGAGGACATGCTCAATAACAGATCAAAAATGGACAGATTGACTTGAGAATTTTTTATTTAACTGCAAATGAAATTTTGACAAGTGTATGTGTCACAAAGCCAAGCCAATTTTTCTAGTAGAATTATAATCTTGGATCATGCTACATGTATCGAATTTTTTTACCTAATCTTTTACCTACTACTCACAATGGAGATGGGGACCACATTGTCGAAATTTTTAAATACACACGGGTCTCGCGCATTATGTGAGAGGGTGTAAACCATCATGTACAAATAACCTTCTAATCTTTCATATGTGCACTGTACCTATCCGTTGGAATAGAAGAGTAAACTCTGAATTGGAAATTAAACATGGTTATGCTACATATACATTATGATATACATAATGGTGTCCATAATATACATGTGGCGCCCCCTATTGGGGGGAGCACCTGGGGGCCCAGGTGCTCCCCCCAATAGGGGGCGCCACATGTACATTATGGACACCATTATACATACCATAATGTACATGTAGCATTATTCAATCAAATAACTCAAGAAGAGGTTTGAGTCTATATGTTCTTCTTCTATTGCAGATGGATTTGGCGAGAAGGGTAAACTTAGCCTTTGATGGTGCTCGAGCTGCCCCCACCAAATGCAACATTGAAGTCAAGGGCCTCGATGCAGATTGTTTACTTAGTTGGGAAGCTTTCACTACTCTTCAGAATCTTAG